TTTCTGGATCCTGCCCTCCACATAACACATCTCTTCCACGTGGCTGTTCCTGCGTTGTATCCTTTACAACAAACCAGTAATCATAAGTAAGCACTTTTCCCTAGTTCTGTAAGCTACTCTAGAGAACTACGAACCTGAGGAGGCAGCTGTGAGAACGCCCAAATCTGCAGTTGGTGCAGGTGACCTGGGAGCTCCATTTGTGGCAGGTGTGCGAAGTGGGGGCAGTCTCGAGGAACTAAGCCCTTCGCCTGGGGATCTGTGTCAACTGTAGGCGTTAGTGTCGGAATGGAGTTGAGTTTTTGGACACCTAGTTAGTGTCAGAGAATTAGAGAACTGCTCGGTCTGGAAAAACTACACAGATTTGGTGTCAGAAAAAAAAAAAAAAAAAAAAAAAAAAGACACATTTGGTGTAAAAAGTTGTGTCAGAAACCCCACACAATGAGTCACGGCCAAGTCCTTGGGGCTCTTCAGGTGGCTCCTCTGGGTGACTCAGACTGTCCCAACTCAACACCCAACCAACCTGGGTTTTTGATCCGGAGAGGTCTGTGGGATGAGCGAGGGCCGCTAAGGCACTGAGAAGGAAACCAAGGAGGAAGGAGAAAAGCCAGGACAGGGTAGTATCAGGGCAGGCAAGAGTGGAGAGTACAGCAGCAAGAACAGAGCGTTCCATGGCAGATTCCGCTCAAATGTTCAGTGAGGAGATGGGCGGGCGCCTGGGTGGCTCAGTCAGTTAGGTGTCTGACTCTCGGTCATGATCTCGAGGTTTCGTGGGTTGGAGCTGCGCATCAGCCTCTGTGCTGGCAGCGTGGAGCCTGCTTGGGATTTTCTCTCCTTCTCTCTCTGCCCCTCCCCCACTGGCACTGTTTCTGTCTCTCTCAAATGAAAAAAATATATATTTAAAACATGTTGAGTGAGGGGAGAACTGAGGAATAGCCTGGGGATCCAGGAACATGGAGGCCCCAGAGATCACGACCAGAGTACTCTCAAGAACGTCTAATTTACCTTTTGACCCAAGCGGTGACTCCACCGTCTTTATCATTCTTCATTCAACTGTACATTTTAATGAATTTTTCTGAATGATCTGTATTTGACAGTGAGAGGTGGGAAAACACAGATTGGGAGTAGGGCAGGAGAGACAGCACGTGCAGACCTCCCTGCTGGTTACGAAGTTAGGCTGAGCAGGCCCTGACGGGCTCGTAGCACCAGCTAGGGAGACTGGGAGCAGCTAGTGGGCTTTCAGTGGTGGGAAAGGGATGAGAGAAGAGAAGGAAGGGGTGGGGCAAGAGGCCTGGGACAGTAACCAAGGTAAACACAGAGAGGACACACAGGCATGAACCCCTAATATACAGAGAAAAACAAATACCACGTGGTAAGTCCCATAGATTCATCAACAAACAAACAAGCAAACCCAGAGCTAACAGAATCTTTCTGCTTGCATCAAATAATGCTTGTATAAAATACACACTTTGCAACCTCCTCCTTATGTGCCATTTTTCATGAATATTTTTATGTCAATGTAGGCTCCTGAACGACCATTTTGCTAAATCTATACTAATCACACCCTATTTCATTCACTAGCAAGCTCTGTTGATGACAATAACTCCTACCGCCTTGTTAGAAAAACACAACACAGCCAAGGCCAACCCTCTGTAGGGATTCCAACTGGGAAACCCAATCCCAATAAGCTGTGTCCAGCCCTGAAGAGCTCACTTTTTCTCCCCTCCCAAAGAATAGATGACCTGAGCTCTCCTCAGTAAGTACTACCTCCTCAAGTTCATGTACTCACATACTCTTCTGTTGGATAAGCAAACACCTTCATCTGCTCTAAAAGGTTGGAAATTCTCAGCGCGTCTGGGTGGCTCAGGTGGTTGGGCATCCAACTCTTGGTTTCAGTTCAGGTCATGATCTCACGGCTCCATGAGTTCGAGCCCCACATCGGGCTCTGCACTGATGATGTGGAGCCTGCTAGGGGTTCCCTCCCTCCCTCTCTTTCTCTCTCAAAATAAATAAATAAACTTAAAAAAAAATGGGGGGGTGGAAATTCTGGAAAAAGGATCCCAAAAAATTGAAAGCATTCTCAAGTGACCACATCACTCACTCAGGTGTTTGCTCCACCGACACCGTCCAGAAGAAAATGATGTATGTTAACTTCCCAGTGAAAAAGAGGCACTTCAGTATGACTGAATAATGTGGTAGTCACCAAGCAGAAAGCCCTTCATGATTAAAATAGGAAAATCCAGGACGGCTGAGTGGCTCAGTTGGGTAAGTGTCCAAGTCTTGATTTCGGCTCGGGTCATGATCTCTCGGTTCATGAGGTCGAGCCCCGTGTTGGGCTTTGTGCTAACAGCACAGAGCCTGCTTGAGATTCTCTGTCTCCCTGTCTCTCTGCCTCTCCCTGCTTGCGCCCTCTCTTTCTCTCAAAAATAAGTAAACTTTAAAAAAAAATAGAAAAAATATGAATTCCAGAAAGCTCACTAAGTAGGTATTTCTGGGGATAAAGACCAATATGAATTAGTTATAAAGCTGCAGTGTGAAGTCTTTTAACAGATTCACAGCTGTCAAATCAGAAGATAAGACTGAATTAAGGGAGTAAAGCCAATCCTGGCAGAAGTCTGCAGGAGAAAGATGTGGCTGATAGAAAACAACTCTCGTGGGGCACCTGGGTGGCTCAGTGAGTTCAGTGTCCAACTTCGGCTCAGGTCATGATCTCACAGTTCGTGAGTTCAAGCCCCGCGTTGGGTTCTGTGCTAACAGCTCAGAGCCTGGAGCCTGCTTGGGATTCTGTGTCTCCTCTCTCTGTCCCTCACCCGCTTGCTTGCCCTCTCTCTCAAAAATAAACAAATATTTAAAAAATTTTGTTAATAGTTAAAAAAAAAAAGAAAACCACTCTCACTTGTGATAATATTAATACTTCTTATACAGGGTTATGGGAGGGGGGATGGGCTAAATGGGTAAGGAATTAAGGAATTTACTCCTGAAGTCACTGCTTCACTATATACTAATTTGGATGTAAATCTTAAAAAATAAAGTTAAATTATAAAAAAAAAAAAAATACTTCTTATGCAGGCAGCAGCGCACACTGGCTTGAGGTCCCCTTATACACATTGTTTCATTTCCTTCTTAAAACAAGCCTGTAAAATACTATCGCCTCCACCTTACCAATGGTGGCCTTCAACATGCGGCTGTAAGTGACCTGCCCAGAGTCACACACAGATCTTAAGAACCACCTTGCACTTGAACCCAAAAATGTCTAATTCAAAGTCCCTGGTCTTCCTGGCAGCCACTTCTTTGTCAAACGGGTCCTCCGGCACTTTGCATTCCGGTTGGAGGAGGCTAATGAGGTTGTCCTATGCCCTCTGTCTACTACACTGTCAATTTAAATGGATAAATGCTCACAACTCTGTGAACATTTTTTAATGGAGAACACAAACTTTATCTTAAAAATACTTGAGGGGCGCCTGGGTGGCTCAGTCGGTTGGGCGTCCGACTTCGGCTCAGGTCATGATCTCACAGTCCGTGAGTTCGAGCCCCACGTCAGGCTCTGTGCTGATGGCTCAGAGCCTGGAGCCTGCTTCGGATTCTGTGTCTCCCTCTCTCTCTGACCCTCCCCCGTTCATACTCTGTCTCTCTCTGTCTCAAAAATAAATAAACATTAAAAAAATATTTAAAAAAAAAATTAAAAATACTTAAGATGCTGGGGCACCTGGGTGGCTCAGTCGGTTAAGCGTCTGACTTCAGCTTGCATCATGATCTCGCGGTTTGTGAGTTCAATCCCCGTGTCGGGCTCAGTGCTGACGGCTCTGAGCCTGGAGCCTGCTTCGGATTCTGTGTCTCCCTCTCTCTGGCCCTCCCCTGCTCATACTGTGTCTCTCTCAAAAATAAACAAACATTAAAAAAATAAAAATAAAAACCACCTGAGATGCTAAAACCTGTCACAAAACCAGGACAAATCCAGCTGAGTTTTCGACTGAAATCAGCTTTTCTAGTTCAGCTCTCCTTTTATATTCCCTCCCAGGAGTTCGAACAACACACAGAGTATTCTGCCAGGAAGACCCGCTCCTCTCCGTACCCCACAGGATCACCATGGGGGTGGCCTTCCCAGGCCAGGGGACCTCCTCCCTGGCTCCTGCACCCGGGGCACACTTTCCGTGCTGCCGCACACACCCAGCACTAGGCAGCAAGACAGGAGCTCACACAAGGGTGGGCGGTCTGCAGCACCCTCCCTGCTCCTGCCACCCTGCAGCTTCTCAGGAGGCACAGAGGGGGAGGCAGCTGACTGTGCTTTCTTGTGTCTCTGACCGATTTCCTTTGGGCTCTTGCACGTGAGTGTTTGCAAAGAAACATCAAGAAAACCAAGTGCTATTATTAAGTTTCCTTTCTCATTCAGCAGGGTAAGGAAAAGTAACACAAGTCCAGGAACAGGGGCCCGGGAGGGACCAGGCCTAAGCTTCCCATGCTGATCAGAGGGTGAGCCAGTCATTAAGAACCCAAACCGTCGAGAGGGCACGCTTTTTCCACTCAAGACTCTGATCAAACCACCAAACCCTCTGCGTCCTACCAGTTGCTTTGAATTTAATGATAATCCTAGGCTTTGCAACTCATTGGTCATTTTCATTCATAATTTCAATTCTTCTTGAATCAATACTTTTGTAAATGGCTTTTGGGTCCAGTGTGAAAAAAAAATAAAGGTATTAATTCCATTTCCTCTTTCCAGATTCTGTAAATATCAACATTAGCAATCTTCTCTGGGGATCATAAGATTGAAATGACATCTTTCAAGGGGTCAAAATAATTTTTATGATGGTTTTACCATTAGTGAAGATTCAAATTACCTTATAGTTTCATCCAACCCAGTAAAGAAATTTAAAATTTCACAGTTGAATTACAACAAAATATTTAAGTATCAAAATGAACTGGAACCAAACAGCACACGGAGAGGTTCCAAATTTCCCTCGGAGCCGAGCGGCACCCAGGGTCAGAGCGTGGTGACCTATACTCACTGTCAGGTTCCAGTTGATCTGGGGGATCCTCACGTGAAGGTTCAGACTGAACAGAATCAGCAAGACTCCAGTCACCACAAATGCACTACAGCTCACAAACTCAAAGAAGTAGAGGCCTTCACACGGAGAGCACTCCATGATGGTCTCTATGCAGATGAAAGCAATCAGGGCCAAAATCTAGGAAGAAAATTGGAAACACACATGTATGTGTATATTTAGTACATGGCCGTGGACGTATGTGCCTGCCACGTTTAACTAAAACTCCACCACCACCATATGCAGCCAGAGTTTTTCTCTGGGGACGACAGCATCACCGTCAGGAACACAACCTGATGAAATTCTTACGAAACAGGTATAGAGGGTAGAATTCCTAATGCGGACACCTCACACGACAGCCCCCCCGACACCGTCCGGGTGTGGCCCTCGTGAGGAAACAGAAAGGAACATCTCTGTGATGTTTTCAGTTCTGCCTCTGCCACCAGTAAGTGGACTCTGCCTACACACGTTTCCAATTTATAGTCCCCACCACAATTATGCCAAACACGGAGAGGGCAGGGTCCAAATGGTGTCCGTTTATGCCATCTGCAACTGCCCGGGTGGTTCAAGCGGAGGTCATGCAGGCCGACTGGGACCCCTGAGGGCTTTAAGACAGGGACGAGTATAATCCCTCCTTCTCCCAGTTACAAGTCCCTAAAAGTGAGGCCTACCTAATTAATTCATGAGCTACGTTTTTTAAAAGTTATCACTGGAGGGGCGCCTGGGTGGCTCAGACAGGCAAGAGTCTGACTCCGGATTTTGGCTCAGGTCATGATCTCACAGTTCCTGGGTTTGAACCCCATCTGGGCTCCGTGCTGACAGTGCAGAGCCTACTGGGGATTCTCTCTCCCTCCTTCTCTCTCTGCCTCTTTTCTACTTGCCTTCTCTCTCAAAATAAATAAACTTTAAAAAACTTTTTTAATAAAAAATTAAAAAATAAAAGTTATCACTGTACTTGGTCAGAAAAAGTTGGAACAGCAGCTTATAAAAACATTGAACATTTTACCAGTAATGGCATCGGTTTCTTTTTTTTTTTTTTAATTTTTTTTTTTTTAACGTTTATTTATTTTTGGGACAGAGAGAGACAGAGCATGAACGGGGGAGGGGCAGAGAGAGAGGGAGACACAGAATCGGAAACAGGCTCCAGGCTCTGAGCCATCAGCCCAGAGCCTGATGCGGGGCTCGAACCCACGGACCGCGAGATCATGACCTGGCTGAAGTCGGACACTTAACCGACTGCGCCACCCAGGCGCCCCGGCATCGGTTTCTTTCTGAAGAACCAAAGTAATATTCCAGCAATATGTCCCTGGAGATCAGAGCTCATAGTTAAACAGGTATCAGTGGAAATTACCAGGTAAGCTTTTAAAAGATTTCAGGATGGGGAGTGCCTGGGTGGCTCAGTGAAGCATCTGATTCTTGGTTTCTGCTCAGGTCATGATCTGATGGTTAATGTGTTCGAGCCCTGAATCGGGCTTCGCGCAGACAGCATGGAGCCTGCTTGGGATTCTCTCTCTCCCTCTCTCTCTGCCCCTCTGTCTCTCTCTCTCTCTCTCTCTCTCTCTCTCTCTCTCAAAATAAATAAATCAAAACTTAAAAAAGCAAAACAAAAAAAAGATTTCAGGACCAGGTGCCTGGGTGGCTCAGTAGGTTGGGCAGCTGACTTGGGCTCAGGTCAGGATTTCACAGTTGATGATTTCAATCCCCAAGTCGGGCTCTGTGCTGACAGCTCAGAGCCTGGAGCCTGCTTTGGATTGTGTGTGTGTGTGTCGCTCTCTCTCTCTCTCTCTCTCTCCAAAATAAACAAATATTAATTTTTTTTTTTTTTTTTTTTTTTTTTTTTTTTTTAATTTCAGGAGGAGGAGGAGGGGTTCCAATGGCTGAATTAATGGGCCAATGATCAGGACAGGCCAGGTGGTCTTTTACCTAAAACCTAAGATCAGTCTTAGTCTCCCAGCCTCTACTCTACTCTACCGCTTCTCTAACAGAGCACTTCTCAGACCACCCACCACATGTCAAGCCTGGGCCAGAACCTGAGGTGAGCCCCCACTTCAAAGGTCCAGGAGGTATAGGCAGGCGACTCGGTGGTCCCAGATTTGTCCTTAGAGCCACCAACAGCAGCATCACGAGAGAGCCCATCAGAAGTGCAGAATTTTTTTTTTTTAATGTTTATGTATTTTTGAAAGACAGAGAGCTGGCAACAGGCAGAGAGAGAGACACACACAGAATGCGAAGCAGTCTCCAGGCTCTGAGCTGTCGGCACAGAGCCCGACACGAGCCTAGAACTCAGGAACCGTGAGATCATGACCTGAGCTGAAGTCGGACGCTTAAACTGACTAAGCCACCTAGGCACCCAAGAAGTACAGAATCTCTGCCTCTCCTCCTTGACCTACAGAGTCAGAATGTTGTTGTTGTTGTTTGACAAGATCCCCAGATAATTATACTTTGGGAAAACCCCAAGGCATGGGCTGCTCTGTGACCTCTGACTACTGGAGTCCCACATGTGCCTTTCAGTGCGGGACTCAATGCCACCTCCTCCCCATGCCTTCCCAGATTGTCTCTCTCCCTGCCAGACATTATTTGATTGCCCCTTCTCCTGGGAAGGCTTGTTCATCTGTGATAGCATTCTACCCTTTTTTAAACTTGCTATTATGTCTCTCTCTGCCTCGTGAGCTTTTTGAAGGCAGGGAAGGGCCAGCCCATCTCTTTCCTCCTGAGGCACCAAAGCACAGTTACTTGCACACTGCCAGCAAACAGGGCCTCGGGAGCCACGAAAAACCCACACCCACAATTGCTAACTTGCTTGGCAGGATCTCCACGTGAAAGGCAGGGCAGGGTGGCGCCACTCTATCCACTATCAACATCAATACTTCCACACTGGGGTGCTTGGGTGACTCATTCGGTTAAAAGTCTCTGGCTCTTGATTTCGGCTCAGGTCCTGATCTCACAGTTCATGGAATCGAGCCCCACGTCCAGCTCCGCGCTGACAGCCCAGAGCCTGCTTGGGATTCTCTCTCTTCGCTCCCACCCCCTCCTGCCCCGCTTGTGCCCTCTCTCTCTCTCTCTCTCTCAAAATAAATAAAAATAAACATTAAAAAAAAATATATTTCCACACAGCAATCATAAAAGACACTTCTATCAATACATGGTTTGTGCTTCTATTTTAAGTCAGAGCATGCTGAGACGGGGGTCTTTAAGCACACATTTTGTGCGTCTCCTGATCGCTCTTGTTACAATTCTCTGCAGAAGCAGAGACTTGAATTCTCCATCTGAATTTCATGCCTGACTTGCAATCAGTTCACAAAGAAGTAGTTCATATAAGGGAAACTCCTCAACTTTTTTCTTCCCCCTGTAATTGGATCTAGTAATCCTGGGCAAGAAATAACACACTGTACTGATGAGTTACAAATGTTTCTGGTATGCTAACTTCAACCATATTTGTGTGGGAAGGTAACACCTACAATCTTAAATATTAAAAACGGTTTCAAGAATATGCAAATCTAATAGGCCACTCAATACAGCAGTGAACAAAACAAACAATCTCTGCTCTCTAGCCCATATTCTAATGAAGGAGAAGCTTTTAAAAATTAAATTAAAAATACAGTACGCGAGGCAGTGTTAAGTGCAAAGGGGGAAAAAAATCCAAGCAGGGAAGGAGAATGCAGTGTAACTAGGGCAAAGGTGTTTGAAATGTTAGGCAGAGTGACATGAAAGCTTCACCGAGAATATTCTAGATTTATATGAAGTTTATCATTTATCACAGTCTATTACAAACGATATTCAAATGAAAGAGAATTTCGACTGCCCCCATTCTGACCTCAGTCTGTTCTGATTGAGTTCTTCTTTCCAGTTTATCTCTTAACTTGGGCCAAACACCCTGTGAACAAAGCATCCTGTGATGGAAACCGAAACTGTCCCCTCAAGCAACAGGCACTGCCCTGAGCCAGCAAGAGCCAGCAAGAGCCAGTGGGGCCGACCCCAAGACAATGATCAACCTGACCTTTACTGACCAGCTGCAAGTACCCACCGACTTTTGTCCCACATTTTCCTTCTATAAACCTGGAAGCATTTTCAGCACGTGGGAGATGTCTTTGAGACGTCGTTCCTGGTCTTCCCAGGGCGCGCCTCCCTGAAATCAATTCCTTTCTTCTTTCCCCGCCACTCATCTCTGCCTTTGGACTTTGTCAGCGGCCAGTGGCTGAACCCAGTCTATCTGGAACCCCCGGAGCCAGGTGCTCTTGCACCCCAGTTACAAAAGGATAAAATTAAACAGCAAATGGAGAGATACACAGGGCAAGGTCCAAAAGCGTCTCTAACACAGGAGCTCTGTCCTGCAGAGTTTGGAATGCACGGCCCTCTTGGCACGTACATACACATTTTGGTTTACCAGCCTGGAAGCTGTCAACTCTTGCCTTCAGAGTTTTTAGAGCTCGGTTTGCAGCCCCTTCCTAGAGGCCGGTGGGTGGGGCTGAACTCTCTATCACAAGGTCGCTTCGCCTGGCAACCAGCCTCCATCCTTAGGTGCCTTCCGCAACAGTCCTCTCACTAACACAAACTCAGGTGTGGTTGAAAGGGAGTTGCTAAGAATAGCAAAAGACACCTCTCATCATTTAGGAAACTCCAAGGGTTTTAAGAGCTCTGTGCCAGAAATGATATGAAGACCAAATATGTTATTTCCTGTTATAAATCACAGTGTCATGAGTATTCATAGGTAGACAGAGATACAGACAGATACACACACACACACACAGCTATACACATACATTAATCAATCCCCTTTTGATAGGTATTTAAGCAGCTTCTAATATTGTTTCGAGTAAGCAGTACATTTTTTGCCTGCCTTTTGGCACAGCAAATGTCAAATTTTCCTCCAGCACAGTGAAGTCTACTGCTAAAGTAAAACCTACCTCTTGACCAACAAGAAGAAAATACGAACTCAAAGTTAATGCTGGAAGCCAACAACCTCAAGGCAACCCAAGAGTCAGAAGTAATTCAACTTGTAACAGTTTTGCAGTAGACAAATATCACAATGTAAAATAGTACAGAGTTGTTCAAAAAGGTGCAAATAAGTAACAGCCCTTGTATTTGCTAATTGAGGGATCACGTGTGTCCTTGACAGGGCCCTTTCCATGTAGCACCTACCA